AAATGAAACAAAAGGAGAGGGATTTTTCGTTAATTCATGCGAAACTGAAAAAATTTGTTCATTTTAATTTTGAGAAAATTTGAAAAAGGATAAAGTCTGATATCCATAAAATTCTAATTTTGAAGAAAAAAAATGAGAAGTTCGAAATGCGTACAAATCTAAAAATTTTGAAAAGGGAGAAGAAAAGGGAGAAGAGAGAAAGGAAGATGAAGAATGAGAAGAGGGAGAATGAGAGAGAATATGAGATTCAAATAAAAAAAGGGAAATAAAAATTGTTAGTATGTTAGTGGAGCGGTATAACAGTAATTTGAAATAGATGGTGATGTCAGCAAATGTTTAGGAGGGGCACATTTCATAATGGACTTTTGAGAAATGCTATTCAGTTCAATTTTCCATTTTGATATTGTTAAATATAATATATATATTAGGTGTGTCAGTTTTGTTGGGAGAAGTGGACAAAAACTATGCCATGGAGGAGAGGGCATGTATCCAAAATCTCGTCCTAGAGAGTTGGGGAAGAATGACATGGAAGAGGCGACTCGAAGAAAGAACTATGGTTCGGAAGCCCTCCAATCATACGTTGTCCCAAGTTGAACGACGTATTGTTCAGTATACATGCCCTCAACTACCCGCAATTCGATACATCTACTCTCCCAATTGCTTGTCATATGTCTATAAGATTCACAAACCTCTAAATAGTAGACCGTACCTCAATATCAGGTTTTGCATTATAGCTTGACCCCCAATCTAAGTCGAATTCAATATCAACTTGAGCATCAGAGTGTCTGTTCCCCTTGTGTAAGTATTATTGTGTCCAATGATACATGACACCGCCCTACCCTAAAGGCCTTGTTGACGATCAATTTGGCTGAGTTGGACTTTGACTCGTTTTGTTGCACAAAACAGGTTTTATAACTTGTACTGTACCTAATATGAAAAGATGAAAGGGGCTTTCTCTGTCCTCCACCTAAGCTACGATGAAAGACACAAAGTCAATCCCAAGAAACAGTTTATATCAATTACACCAAATACATTAAGGTCTTTCATTTTGATGTTCCTGCTCGTGCCCGGGACGTACTTCTTACTATGTATATTGTTGATAAATCTTATTCCAGTTAAAAGAAATTGTTTAAGCCACATTACATATTATCTTTCTTTATTGACATGTCAAGTATATTATTCATATACTTCATTTTAAAAATGTCACTAATAGACACGGCGTGGCACACACGTTCCAAAAATTAAAAACTCTAAGAACTTCAAACACAAAAAGAAAAGAAAAAAAAAAAACTGAAAGTTCGAAGATATAGATTTAAATTATTTTTCATACTTATACTTATAGGTGTTTGGAGATGGATTTAGATTATTAATTTTAAAAGACGTGTCCTGTAATGGAAATGCACGAGATAAAGATAAACAAGTCTAAATTATTCACTTTAGATGAAAAATAAGGAAAACAAATCAAGAATTAAATTAAAAGGAAAAACATAAAAGTGTTGAAACAAGGCGTCGAACTCCGGCTGGAACATAGGTGATAGGAAATAGGAATCAATAATTAAATTTAAAAAAATAGCATAAAGATGGTTAAATAAGGTGTTGAATCTGATAATCAATAATTGTATAAAAATTATAAAGGTGTTGAGCTAAGGTTCCTGAAATTTTACAATTCATAAAAAAAAAAAAATTTAGCAATTGTTTAAACAAAATTTTATCGTAAAGTAAATCAAAGTAAAAATCACAACAAATTTTTTAATTCAACATAAATATTGCAACAGTTATTTAAATTTAGGCCGGTAAAGATGGAGTCGTTTCCATTTTTAAATATCAAAATATAAAATATGTAGAGAAAGTTTACACGGTGGTAAGGTAATATCATCATCATTTGGCAAGCACAAAA